AGGTATTTAAATCACCAATATCCCAATTTTGCAGCACACACGGCCAGACAAATGCCAGATTTTTCCTGGTGAACCATGTCTGGGAACACAAGACCAAAACAAAACAGGAAATAAAAAAAGGTGGAGGGGGTTCAAATCTATTCCTGTGGCTGTTCTCCATGAACCTTAGAGTGGAGATCCAGGAGACTCAAACTCACTCCTGCTTTAACCCTAAGCATCATTTAATATCTGTGACTCCCCCCTGGGCAGCATACTGGAGAAGGTAGTAAGGCACCCTTGAACAAAGTCACTTATTTTAACTTAAAAGGAAGAATATTAACAAAGTTTACCAACCCCTGTTCAGAAAATATTAAGAAATGACCCAGCAAGCAGCAGATATATGTGGGCTGATCTTTAATAAGCAGGTGTGGAAGGCACTGTTACACTGAGAGGTCCAGCTTTGCCTACAGGAGCCTGTCAGAACAGATTAAAGTCTATCAGAATATATTCAGGTCTATCAGAATATACTCAGATGCTCTAGAGTTCTTAGGGAACTGTTTCCAGACAAACTTTATTAATTTTCACTTTTTACATTCCACTTTCCTTCTTGTAGGTAATTGCTAAAAAACTCCAGTTGAATTATCTTAATTATGTTACATTTTACTCCAATTTGAATTAATTTTATGTGTGACACACCTATGATGAGATTTCAGCCAGTGTTCTGTTGAAAGCATGCAGTTGAGTTACCTGAGTCTTCTGAAAGCACTGGCATGGTTTTGTTCTTATTCCTACAGAAAAATGTTCAACTGCAACCAAGAGGATTGTTTCTTCTTTCTGGACTGTAGTTCACAGGCAGTCCTGAAATGAGCAAACATAATAGCTAAGCTCAAACATGCAAGAAAAATGTCAGGCATGTAAAAATAGCAATTTTTCTAGTTTTCAGTTTAACCTGGATCAAGCAGAGTACTGCAGTTATTCTGCTATGCAAGTAACAATGTAAAATACTAGGTTATGTAATGAAATGTAAGTAAAATGAAAAATGCCAGGTTATATAATAACCATATTGTATTCTGGATAAAGCTGAGGCTGAGGAGAGTATCTCTCAAGACAGGTAATTTTAACAGGTCTAGAAAACTGTCTGAAAAAACAGAAGAGAAGTTTAAAGGCTCTGGAAATATCATGTGCAGGAAGATGCCACATCACAAGATGTTCTGGGGCTTCCTAAAAGCTCATCTCAAAGAAATGCAAAAAATTTCAAATTTAATTAATTTTTTAATTAAAAAACCCAAAACCTAAACGGAATCTATGCATATAATTGCCAGTCCAAGATGAAACATTGTAAGTGCCCTGAAACACAATCTTGTTTATGCCTATAAAATTCATTGTAGTAGTACTTGCATAAAAATAAACTTCCATAACAGCACACATACTCCAACTCTTTGCTGAATACAAAAAAAGGATTCTCCTTGTGTTTCTACTTGTAGATAAGTCTCTGATATTTTGGTTGCATAAAACAAGTTTGATGGTCTTCCAATTCAAATTTCCTTGACTAGCTGCCTGAAAATACCACAGTTCTGCATGGCAAATTAGCATTTCCTTATTTAGAATTTTATAATTCCAGAGTTTCTCTACAACATAGTGAAATACTAAGCTCAACAGTCACCTGTGTTTTACACCCTGTGTTTTCTACCACTACAATTAATTATTTAGAGAAATATTTATTTAGAGAACTCCAGCTATGTTTTGATGCCCAAAACATCAAAACATGGCATCAAAACATAGCTGGAGTTCTCTAAATAAATTAACTGAGTGTTGAAATTTCACTCTATTCCATGGATTGTGCTCCAGTGCATTATATATACTATACCTTTATTTAAGCACTCTTACTACCTATTGCTTAGAAGAAATAAACATTTCACTTCATGCCAAAGAAATTTATGGGCAACTCATTCAACCACTTTGGTTCCTTGACTACAGAATTTCATTTGACACATATTTAAATCTTCTCAAATTATTAAGAAAGAACTTCAATTGCATGCTTCATCTTTGCAACAATGTGTGCTTCCTACAGTGAAATCTACTTAGCACCAACCCCATGAAAAGCCAAGTTATTTTCTAGATTCTTAGATAAAAAAAGCCCACACAGGAACCTGGAAAACACATTTCAGCATCTTAAAAACCTGAGAGCAAACTCAGGAGCAACAGAATTAGTCGAGTTAGGCACAGCAATCAAAATGGAGGCTTCCCCTAGAGGCATCTTCCACGCTCTGTAAAAATCCTGTTACACAGAACTGCCTGGAATGAACACTCCAAAGAATGAAAAGCATTCCATACCCAGGGCTGGCTCTCAGAGGTATTAAAATCAGCCCCAGCACGTGATATTTTGCAAGATGGGTCTCAAAACCATGAATCTGTCCTCTCATCATTGTAGCATCAATAGGCTCAAATACTCTTTAAAAATATCTACCTGAAAGTTAATTCATTTTTCACACATATCCTTGCCCAGCTGCTCCCAAGACTGAATGCCTGAAGCACCTTTCTTACCTAGAAAAAGGGTTGTTAATATTTGGAAAGGGCTAAATAAACTCAACTGATGCTTGCCATGGGGTCAAAGCAGGAGACATAATATGACCTGGCATATCCCCATTAATTTACACAATAAACCTATAGTGGTTCACAGCCTAACACAACATAAAGCTTCTGTAATCCAGATTGTATCATCCAAAGCTTTCAGAAAGCATCTGGAGTTTAACATTTTACATGGCCCTAGCGATTAGGTCAGAAGATACATCACTAAGCGGGCCATAGGTGATAGCTGACGGCCACACAGGATTTCTCCTCCTGTCAAACCTGAGTGAAGCTGCTTCACGAGTACCTACTCTAGACAGAAAAAGACACTATAGTGCTGGCCGAAGCACAAACAAAACCGCACAACCCTGCTGGGCACTACGGGGCCGGGACTCTTACCCCGAGCCCCCCGGTCAGGTGCAGCCCCGGCCCAGCGCCCGGGCCCGGCACAGCCGCGCTGGGCGCTCCGGGCTCAGCCGGACAACCCCTCGAGAGGTGTAGGGCTCCGGTGACACCCCACCGGCAGCCCCGGGCAAGGGCTGTCCCGCCCCGGAGAGCTTTATGTGAGCTCCACCGAGCCGGAGGTGATACCTGCGGGCCCAGACCTCCTCACGGCTCCACCGCGTACGGAGCGAGGCTGCGCTCCAGACCGGAGCAAGACGGACCACACCGGCCCTGCCTGAGCTGCTTCCCGAGCCGCGAGGCGAGCACGCTCCCGGCCCACATCCACCAGGGAGCCCTAACCCGGACCGAGCCCTCAGGCACACCCAGCACACCCGCGGGCTCCCTCACGCCGGGCCGCGCCTCGAAGGCAGCACCGGAGCCCGGCCCGAAGCGCCGCAAAATGGCGCCGCCCCCGCCGCCTCAGCGGCCCCCGCGCTGCGCCCCGGGCTCGGCGCTGCCCCGGGCCGCCGTTACCTGCGGGAGCGGCCCGGGCTGGGCTCCTGCGGCGCTGGAGGCTGCCCCGGCCGGCCGCGGAGCTGCCCGCAGCCTGCTGCGCACCTCGCTCATGCGCCCTCAGAGCCGTTCTACGCACGCCTCCCTCCTCCCCTGCCTCCCTCCCCCAAGCTGCCGTGGCGTGAGGGGCGGCTGGATCGCCCCGGAGAGGCGGCTCGTAGCGAAATCGGGGTCTCAGCACCCCGATCGGGGTGAGCGGCTGCCGGCTCCGCTCCGGGGGTTCGCCCCAGAGCTGGCGGCTCCGGACGCGGCTGACCCGGGGGAGCTCCGGGCGCTGGGCGGACCTCGTCCCGGCCTGCAGAATTCCCTTGTTGAAGTCACCCTTGAGGACTGTCCGGAAAGTCCAAAACACCAGAAATTTATGTCCAAAAAGGAGAACTTTAGCTTTATTCCAATAAAGGGAGAGAGTTTACTGGGGCACACACCCGCGGGGTTTTCTCTCTCGGGGTTTCAAAGGACTCAGCCTCCCTTTTATCAGTTCCTTTCCCCATCGCTGAGGTACCAGGAGGGTGCAGCCTTCCCGAGCTACCTACCCCATATATCCCCCCTTGAACCTGGCATTTTACCCCAAAGTTCAGTCTTGTGCAGACCCTTGCCTATCTCAGGAGCCAAGCTGTCTGGGCCCACTAACAAACCTGCTGCCCAAAGTCAGTAGAGACATTAAGACCCATTTCAAAGATGTTAACACCCATACCTTCATCCATTAAATTATTTGTGAAGGCATCAGTAGTTAATTTAGTAGCTGGCACAGGGCTGTGTTTTGAAACCAATATGAGAGCAATGTTGAAAACTGATGGTTTTGGTTGTTGCTTAGCAGTGCTTATCCTAAGTCAAAGACTTTTTGTGTCTCATTCTCTGCCAGTGAGGAGGTGCACACAAAAGCTGAGTGGGAGAACAGCCAGAACGGGCTATGGACTGGCCAAAGTATGTTCCACGCCACAGAACATCACACTCCATATATAAATTGCGGGAGTTATTGAAAGGGGCACTGACAGGAGTTCAGGGACAGTCTGCTATCAGTTGACAGGCGGTGTGATTGTATTGTGCATCACTTGAGTCTTTTTGCCTTGGGTACGTGGGCTCGGCCAGACACCCCTTGCGCGGCACTCGCCCGAGCCCCGGCTCTCCCAGCCCCAGCCCAGCACGGTTCACCCCGCCCCGGCTCGGTTCACTCCTCCCCATCCTGGCTCTCCCCTCCCCAGCCCAGCCCGGCTCTCCCCGCCCCAGCCTAGCCCAACCCGGCTCGGCTCTCCCCGTCGGCTGCGCGGTCCTGTCGCCGTCTGCTCTCTCTGGCCGCGGCTGCTCCGGCCCTTCCCCTGCTCCGCTGGCGATCGGGCAGCGCTGGCAGCGCCCCTTCCTCTCCGGCTCCGCGGCCATCCCGGAGCTCCCCGAGCCCCGGGGGCTGGCGGCTGCTGCGCGCAGGCAGCGCGGTGCGCTCAGCCTCCCGCTCCGCCTCATCCCCGGCGTGCCCGCGGAGCCCCTGGGCAGCCGGCGGCATGGCAGCCGTGCGCAGGAAGTTTGGGGACGAGTACCAGGCCGTGGGCCTCGCTCGCTGCAGCGCTCGCAGGGAGCGGCAGCGCTTCGTGGACAAGAACGGGCGCTGCAACGTGCAGCACGGCAACCTGGGCGGCGAGAGCAGCCGCTACCTCTCCGACTTCTTCACCACGCTGGTGGACCTCAAGTGGCGCTGGAACCTGCTCATCTTCCTGCTGACCTACACGGTGGCCTGGCTGGTGATGGCTTCGTTGTGGTGGGGCATCGCCTACCTGCGCGGGGACCTGCAGCAGGCGCACGGTGACACGTACAGCCCGTGTGTGGCCAACGTGTACAACTTCCCCTCCGCCTTCCTCTTCTTCGTGGAGACCGAGGCCACCATCGGCTACGGGCACCGCTACATCACGGAGCGCTGCCCCGAGGGCATCGTGCTGTTCCTCTTCCAGTCGCTGCTGGGCTCCGTCGTGGATGCGTTCCTCATCGGCTGCATGTTCATCAAGATGTCGCAGCCCAAGAAGCGAGCTGAGACGCTCATGTTCAGCCGTGCCGCCGTCATCTCGCAGCGCGATGCCAAGCTCTGCCTCATGTTTCGTGTGGGCAACCTCCGCAACAGCCACATGGTGTCTGCCCAGATCCGCTGCAAGCTGATCAAGGTGGGTCCTGCGGCACTGCGTGGCACAGGGCACCTGGGTGACACGGGCAGCGTGCGGGCCAGCTGCGGGGCTGGGCACAGAGGGCAGGAGCGCGGGGCTTCTGCTGTGTAGCCGCTGCTGCTGGTGCCTGCTGGCAGCTCTGCCCTGCCCCGTGCTGCCCCTTGGGGGGAGGATGTGGCTGGGGCGGTGGGAAGGACTCTGGAAGATTTTGGTGTAGCTTTCGTAGCAGCAGCCATGCAGGTGTAGGGGAAAACTGTCTCATCAGAGAGCTCCCAGGGCACTTCAGTGGGTTGTGAGGCTGGCAGAATCCCAGGCTGGGCAGGATAGGTGGATGGATGTGTCAGGATGCAGGACAGCTCCAAGGAGGGGTACTAAGGAATGCTGCTTAGCAGATGATGGCTGAGAATAAGGAATTGATTTGTGGTGGTATTAAACTAAGATAAAGATCAGCCTTGACCTCCTCTTCCTCTTTTGGAAACTTGGTGAGCTTTAACTTGCAGTCCCTTATCCCAGCTATGTTCCAGCTAGTGACCTCACAGCATTTCAGAGGGATTGTATGGAAAGCTCCTTTGATTGTCACCAGTATCCGTTTACTGATCACTGACAATGGCCAGTAGAATTCAGAATGCAAGAAAACTGGAATTCAAAGGTGTTCATAACACAAAAAACAAACCAAAACCAAACCACACACACACACAAAAAAAAAAAACAAACCAAAAAAAAAAAAAAAAAACAAAACCAAAACCAAACCCCAAAAACCCAACAAAAAAACCAAACCCCGAAAACCCCACCCCAAAACAAACAAACAAACAAAAAAAACCCACAAAAAAACCCCCAAAAAACAACAAATCCAGAAGAGTTTGGCGGTCACAAAGGTCCAGAAGATAAATTGGGCTGGAGTAGAATGGAAGAAAAACACTGAAATTCTGAGCAATGTAGCATCTCACAGCAGCTATGACTTGTCAGGGGAGCATGCTTGGTGAGGAGCTCTGTCTGAAGCTCCTAAGCTGTCAGAAGCTGGATCCCAGTGATGAGATTAATTTCAGGATATCATATTTGAGTGTTATAAATGTTCTGTACTCTGTCTGGTAATTCTCTCTGACCTTTCTAATAATCTGCATGGATAAGCATGAAGCAGTAGGTGTTGGGGCAGTGGTAAATATGAAAGGCTGTTTCCCTTCTGTTCTGTGCTGAATGCTAGACTGAGCTGTTAATTTTTCTTGCTACATAATACCACTTAAAATGGAGGATCTGCTAAGACTTAAAAAGAAATTCTGTGTATATATATAGATATATGGGAACAAGCTGTGAGGAGTTACACTGGAGCAATTTTTGTAGGAATTGGAAAGCCAGCTGAACCATGTTTTTTGTTGCTTTATCCTCCAGAAATCTCCTCTAAAGTATTTAATTCTATCATTCAAAATGGAATGCAAGTCAAGTGGAATAAAAGTGGGGTCACATTGTGTTTTTACAGAGAGGGCAGCTCATTTTCTTTTGAAATAGGACACCAAATATACAGCCAGATATCCTTTCTGCTGACAATTCCATTGTAACACAATGCTGGTATGCAGGTGACTGGGCCAGAAAACTGAAGGACATTTGATGGACTTGCATGACCATGGTGTCTTAGGATAGCTGTTTTGTAGGCCAGACAATGAATCAGTGAGCATATTCTTGATTTTTTTTTTTTGCATGGTCATCATGTTGTCTTCAAGCTGCTTTGTGACCTTTGACAAACACCAGGTATGAACAGAAGATGATTTAAAATGGAATGTGCAGTAGCTGCCCCCTCAGTCCTCATTGCAAGGAGTGGCATTAATTCCCTTGTCTTTCGTAAATCCCTGCCACTGAACTGGACACACATTCTGGGAGCCACTGGTGGCTGTTCAGATCACCCTTGAATTTCATCAGCTGCTTTCAGGGAGCTTTGTGTGTCCTGTAAATTAGGGTGAATGTGCCAGAATTTTCTTGCTCTCTTCAGTAAATCCTTTTTGTGGTTTGAGCTCTGCCCTCTCTACTTCCCTGCAGTGCTGCCAACAGCTGATCTTGCTACACTTCTGCACCTGATCAGGTAGCCAGAATTTTCTTTTGTACTGGTGTCACACTGAAGGAATGTGAAGAACCACATCACATTTTTGTACTTGAGCTAGGAGATATATTCAGCAGTGAATGTGGTGTTTTGCTGAGATCAGTGGGGCTCTGAGGATTTACCTGATTTACCTTGTACACTGACCTAAGTTTGAGCAGCATTTCCTGACAGTGTGATGCATGCACTGATCCATTTAGCAGATCACAATGGTGCTGCCACACTGGGCTGGCTTTTCTTTGGGTCCAGGGGCTCTGCATGGCAAAGTGATACCATGCAGAAGTCTGAGGCTCTATTTAAACTGAGTTGTGGAGAGCTTGGAAAACAGTTGCAAGACTAATTGTGTGTGTTTCAGCAAAAACTTTTCCAGAAATCCATGTCTTTCTAGTTTACATTGAGTGCTACAGAAGCTGGGAAAAGCAAAATCCTGGGGCAAAAAACAGAAAAAAAAATGCTATTTGGAACTAGCTGCTGAAAATGTGCAGTTTGTGGTCCTGGACTTTTTAACGTCACAATGAACTGTATTTTTCTGCTTTCTGCCTTGGACCTTTCCAGTGTGCCTAAGGCAGCAGCCACCAGCATGGCAATGAGTATTGATTTTATAAAACTTAATCACAGTACATATTTGTACCATCTCTTGATCTGACTACATATGTCATTGATAAACATGCTGGTGTTGGTGTGTCAAGATGTCTATGCAGTGTTTCAGCTAGTGTAGGACCATTTGATTCAGAAAGTTGAGGAATGTAAAACCATCGTAGCCTATTTGCAGCATGTGCTAACAATAGTTTTAAAAAGACAGTTGTGAAGGATGATAGGGCAGTGAGCTTTGGGTTAGAACCAGCAGGCACCTGCTCTTTAGGCTGTACTTACTAACAGCTTTGAATAAGCTGAAAGCAAACAAAATTGTATCAGAAAGTTTGCAGGTGGCAGGTGACAGGCATTGGAAATAAGTAAGAAAACCCATTATATTGTGATTTCAATAAGCTGATAAGTAGGGCAGAAAGTGAAAAAAATAAGTTTTTTAATGTTACAGCATTATTCAGATTGGAAGGAACTTCAGGAAGTTTGTGGTCAAACCTTCTGCTGAAAGTATGGTGAGCTGGGAGATCAGACCAAGTTACTCTGGGCTTTTTCCAATATAGTTTTGGAAGCCTCTAAGATAAAAAAACCTGCACAGTCTTGCTGGGCAAGCTTTTCCACAGCTTAACTGTCCTCACAATGAAAATGTTTTTCTCCAATCCAATCCAATCCAAACTTCCCTTGTTTCAGCTTATACCTGTTGTCTCTCGTTCCTGCCAGGCACCTCTGTGAAAAGCCTGGCTCTGTTTTCTTGGTCACGTTCCTCTCAGGTTTTGGAATGTTTGTTAGATCCCCCTCCATGCCTTCTCTTCTCTGGTCTGAACAAGCCCAGCTCACACAGGTCATATTTACAACTAGACTGAAATAAAAAGTAGCAGTGATCCTGGGAATTATCTCCAGTGGAGCTGTAGGTGTAGTGTCACAACTGAAAAACTCCACACAAATGTTCAACAATGGTATCACAGCAACAAGATCATATTATTCCAGAAATATAAAATGTAATAACACTTTTTGCAAGTTGGTAGTCGGAGTGTGGGGGTGGAGCAATGAGCATCTACCGGTTCAGCATTTTCTAGGTTTATATGTTTTTCTACAATGTGCTGCATCTTTTGAGCCCCACTTTTTCTGCCCCAGTACTCAATTAGTCCACCTGGATATCAAAACATAATTATGCGTGTTCTCTAATGAGTGAACTGACAGAGGGTTAATAATAAAACTGCAGCGTGTCCAGTTAAAGGGAGCTATGCATGTTTATGCATAAACAGGGTTTAGAAAAGCAAAGAGAATGAATAAAGGGTAGGAGTGAAGATTTGAAGAGCATGATGTATTTGATCAGACACTAAAACAGACTAAGTGGTGATGCAGTGGAAGTCTGCCTTGTAATAAAAACTGAAACAAAGATCCAGTGGCAGAAATTTAGACCCAGGAGTCTTATTTACTTTTGTAAATTTTTTTTAACTTAGCTGTAAAGAAATTAACTTTTAGAGGAATTTTTTGAGATCTTTAGATTATCCATCTCTGACTACATTTAAATTGCAAGCTAGGGCATTTCTAATTAATTGTTCCCTTGTTCAACATGTATTAATCTGCAGAATTTACTTGTCTTTGTGTTATGTGGATGGTCAAAATAAAGAGTCACAAGTGTTCCTTCCAGACTTATTCCTGACATTTTATAGCCCTCTGTCTTCTTGTTTTGTGATCCTTTGTGTAAAGCTGTAGATGTAAAACAAAGGTCACTGGCTAGGAGGCTGAACCTGTTGGGGCTATTAAGCTCTCTTCATTCAGGTTAACCTATTTTTATTCAACAAACAAGTTTAAAAATCCTTCATGCCCTGCATAAATCAATCCTGCATGTAAGATCCTGAATACCTCAAACAAAACCTTCTGCTTTCTCCCAGATCTGTTACCTCTAATCATCCTGCCTGCATTTGTTTACTATTGAATGGATTTGATTGAAGACTCTTCCACAGAGAGAAATGTGTGTAGATCAAACAGTTCTTGAGTCAGGCAACAGCTTGTGCAAAATTGCATATTTCTGTCTAGGTAGATGCATTTGATGAAGCTTTGGGACAATTTCAGGTTTAGATGTTGGATCACACAGGTTTGTTACCCTGAAGCAAAGATCATGCCTGGGCAATCAGTTTGTGAACCATTGCAAGAACAGCAGCCAGGCAGCAAAAGCAGTGTTGGTCTGCAGCTTAGCTCTGCAGGAAAAGTGAAAAGATGTTTTTGCAGTAGGCTGATTCCACCTTTGCATATAACAGACTGTCATGACTGCTGTGTAAGTGCTGATTGCTTTTATCTCACAGCACTTTTGCCTTTCAGATCATAAATAATTTGTGAAAATGCTCTCACACACAATCAGCTGATATTTTCTCTGTCTTCATCAGCAAAGGAGAAATTGAATCTTGTCCTCCTGTGCAGGGGAGAACTTGGTTACTTAGACAGGAAGAATATTTCTTCCTCAGCAGCAAAACAAGCAGGTAGCACGTAGATGAAATCATGGATTGTATTTAATAAGGAGCTGAGCTCCAGCTGCTGCCTAGCTGCTTGTGTAAACTCCAGTAAATACCAGGCAGTTATAAAATCAGCATTTTTAAGGTCCTTGTGAAGAGGGGAGACAGTATAAAGACAGACTATTTGCTTGGGGATTTTCTTTAAAGACAGAAACTTTCTTAAAAGAGCACTAGTCAGATCTGAGTTGATGGAACACTGCTGCCTTTGGCTTGCTCTCAGTGAACAATGTTTCCAAAATGCAACACAATTCATGCTATCTATTTATTCATTTATGATAGCACAACTTGTAATAATATTTATTTATTTATAATCAGCAGTCATCTTCTTGAAGAGTTAAGTGCTTTTTAATCAAACAATAAGCAGAAAAGATTTTGAATAGGATTTATTTATCAGCTGTGCAAAACTTCTAATTTTGGTGGGCAATTTCCACCAGAGACCTTCAAAGCAATCACATGAGGAGCTGCCTGGCCAAGTGATGCAATTTTTAGATAGACTGATTACCAGGAAAATTTGGAGGGAACCCTATGGAGTAGAGAGAAACTGCAATATCAGTATTTTTATTGGACCCATGAAATGATGGGAAGAAGAATGAGGCACTTGTTTAATAATTAAGGTCAATTTGTTAAGGTCAGTGTGCAGTAGGTTGTACATGCAAGGGATGAGAGCATCATCAGTATGAATTCAGGTGGTTTTGTGAAAATGCCACTACCAGATGCACTGTACAATTACTGTGGTGTTTACCTTTGAGTTAGTACATCACAGTGCCAAACAAATGTTAGCAACATACAAAAATAATAGAAGGTGAATTCAAATAACAGAATAAAATGTGCCCAGCTTGCAGATTTTGGTCTCATTAATGGGAATTTTTGCCACAGGATATTCATGTTGAACACCCACGACAAGGCATATAGTGTGTGGTACATTAAATTTCTGTAAAAATAAATACATAAAATTAATACATATAAAATATATAATATAAAATATATTTTATAGATTATTAATTATATATTATAATTATAATGCTCTTAATATTAATACCATTTTAGCACATAAAAAAATATATATACACACCTATATATATGTCACAGTGAAGTTTGTAGATGGTGACGAGATCTACTGGCATAATAAGAAAAGTCAAACCTGGTCTTGCAAAGCAGCCTCACAGTATTTAGCATTACTCACATCTCTATTTTGAAGCCCCCAGACCTACCACATGCAGCTGATGTCTTGCAAGAGGCAGGTTTAAACTTTATTGCATTGATTTTATGCTTTGCCTCCCACAGTGATTACTAAATCATCTTTTCTCTTTAGTCCAGACAGACACCAGAGGGAGAATTTCTGCCACTGGACCAGTGTGAACTGGATGTTGGATTTGGAACTGGAGCTGACCAGCTGTTTTTGGTTTCCCCTCTAACCATCTGCCATGAAATTAACTCAGAGAGCCCCTTTTTCTGCCTCTCACAAAGATCACTGAGGAGTGAGCAATTTGAAATCGTCGTCATCCTCGAGGGAATTGTTGAGACCACTGGTAAGACTTTGAATAATCTGCACACTCTGATTTTTAGTCTTCGTTTTCAGTGCTGATATTTTTAGCAAGGCAGCTGTTAGTGCTGGATGCTCCAGCATATCCTGCCATATGCTGCAGAGCTTCAGAGGCTCTCACCAGGCAATAGAGACCTCCCTTCCCCTTCCCCTCTGCATTGCCAATTCCCAGCATGGCCAGCAAGGGACACAGCCTGCCACTCTTTGTGGAACAGCTCAGTGCTCTTACGAGGCTTCTGTTTTAAGGATCACCACTCTGAACGAAAGCTGAACTTTAAAAGTTGCAGTGCTGGAAAATTCTTTTCAGCCTAGCTTGCACTGAATTGAATTCAGATTAAGAAATCCACAAATAGAGACCTCGTAGTCCCAGAGATTGTAGGCATATGTATTTATTGACAAATATGAGAAGAGTTTTGCTTCTTTTTTAAATTTGGGTATGGTGTTGTCCATATGACAGCTGATTTTGTGGCCTTTTGTTTTGAGGACTCAATTCTTTCCTGAATCCCATGAGAATGGGTTCCAGTTATATGAGGAGCTCTTCATCAACAATCCCTGAGTACTGTAAAGTCCAAATCATTCAGTATGGTCAGCAGCATTCTGATCTTCTTCCTTCTTCTTAGATTGGTTAAACTTTGATTAATCAGAGAACTTTCTCATCCTTTCCACAAGATTAGCAGCTGCCTCATTCCTGCTTGGAAAAGGGGTGTCCCTTTGGTGCAGCCGTGTGCAGTCATCTCTGTCTGATTGCTCTCCACACAAATACACAATCCTCTGGGGCAGAATGCTCTTTCACATTGACTGTGGCATCTTTGGATCCCTGCAGAGGCCTCGTACCCTGCAACTGAATCATTTATTTTAAATAAGCATGCATTCAAAACCTCCCTTAATGCAATTACCTGTCTGGATATTTAAAGGGAGACATTTGACACTTGAGAATCCATGTGGCAGTAACAGGGAGCAAATCAGAGTCTGGGCTCACTGACTGCTAATTCTGCCTCTGGAGACTGCCATGACGGGAAGTTCTGCTCACCTGGGATATTTGCATAAATTATTGTGAGTGCTGTTGTGGTGCCATGGTAACAGATTTGCCAGCTTGATTAGAATACATTTTAATTGTGAGTTCACACACACAAATACTACCAATGATGTATTCTGCACTAAGTGGAATAAAATCTTCACTGAGTTTACAATGGCACCTGTGTCTGAACATGGAAGAGCTTCAGTGTCTCTGCACAGCTTTTGTCTTGACATACTGTTGGGAGAAAAAGTAACACAGCCTACAGCAAGATTGTTTTTTATTTGGCATTGTGTCCTCCAACACCTGATCCTTGCCAAAGGATTCTGTTGGATTATACTCTTATATAATATTGGATTATTATAATAATAATAATCCATACATTATTAATGTATGGATTATTATTCTCTTGGATCATACTCTTTTCTGACTCAGAGATGGGCAACTGAGAGGTGTTGTAACAACTTTTATTATATTTTCAGTCTCACGTGAAGGGTGAGACAATACAGATGTTACAATTCACACCATCACAATCAGGAGCCAACTATTTCCTAATTACATTATAAGCATTTCTTGGCCTATCAGCTTTAGCTACACCACGCTGTAAATGCCTTAAACCCAATCTTCTAAAATTGCCCCTTGTGGGTCTTACTACAATGCATCTTTCATAGCTCTATTTCTGTAAAGTATCTAGTCTTTTCTGTAAGGCCACTTTTTGAAACTTGTTTTGAGAATTTTCTATAAATTCATTTCCCACACTGTAAGCCTCTGGCAAGCAATAGTTCCTTCTTCCAAGAAAGGGTGTTACTTATTCTCTCAAGTCTGAATAGGGATTGTTCAGCCTGGAAAAGGGAAACTTTGGGATTACCTAATTGCTTCTAATACTAGACACGGTGAAGAAAATGAATTCTGTCCCAGCTGAAACCAGCACATAAGCTAATACTGTTTTAATTTTACATTTTACCATGCTTGGTTGCAAATCTGCATGAAAATTTAGTCAGTTAATTAGAGGCACTCCATTGACTGGACAATCAGAAGATTATCTAGGAACAATTGCCCCATTTTATAACCTCTGAAATCATTGGTTTGCTGGCTGAAATTCATTTTTCTCTGTCAGCCTCATGTATTTCTGGTTCCATGTGCCAGTCTGCTTGCTGACATTGGAATGCTCTTGTCCTTTTGCACAGGAATGACGTGCCAAGCCAGGACCTCATACACAGAAGATGAAGTCCTGTGGGGTCACAGGTTCCTCCCAGTCATGTCTCTGGAAGATGGCTTTTTCCGTGTCGATTATTCTCAGTTCCACGCCACCTTTGAAGTCCCCACTCCTCCTTACAGTGTTAAAGAGCAAGAAGAAAACCTGTCCCAGTCATCTCTCTTGAACAGTCCTTTGGATAAGAAAAGCAGAAGAGAACAGGTTTGTCCTCTTGACTGTGCTGATGTTCCAGGAGAGAAGAACAAGCTCCCTGCTAAACTTCAGAAGATCAGCTCGAGGAAGGAAGGCCTTCCTCCAAGAGCCCTGAGAATGAGTTCCAGTAACACAGAGAAGACTTTCAGTACTGGAGATCTCTTGAAAATTCAAGAAATAAGTCCCATCTCTGATGGTGAAGACAGTGATAACAGGATGCAGCTGAAAGCCTTAAAAATAAATGCCAAGGCTCTGACTCAGTCTACCAGTGAGCTCGAGTTACAGAAGGATTTTCCAGGTGTGGGTGCTCTGGAGGTGAAATTGGAAGACAATTTTCCTGCCAAACTTTAAAAAACGAACTCTGATCGCTTCTTCAAAGAGCTGGAGAAACAGAAGTTGTTGCTGATAAACTGCATTTGAGACTGCTGCCCTGGAGGAGTTGTTTCACAGTAAAGTCACAACTTGGCTTTGCTGCTTTCAGGAAAAATGATCCTTTTGGCATAATTGTTCTGTACAGATCCAATCTAGGTACCATAACAGGACTTTGAGGGGCAGTATGGTTACCCTGTCATGCCAAAGAGATTCCTGCCCTGATGATGCTTATCAGCATGCTCATTGCAAACCTACCCAGTCTTCTCTGTATGCAGATGCTTTTTCACAAAGCAAGGATCACATCCTTAGTCACAGAGATGGAAGCAAGAAGGGTGAAACAGCAGCTGGAACCTGGTTTTGTGCAATTCAGGTCCTGGACTGCTCCTGATGGGCAGAACAGCAGAACACCAGAGGAATATATGACACTGGTCAGTCCTAGTCCAGTTGTCTCTTTGGAAAGAGGCTTTCCTGGTCCATCCTTCTCTCCCAGTGACTGTGGCACGCTCCCTCTGTGCTCCCAGTGTCTCATCCATGGTCAGTCAGGTAGAGGAAGCAGTGTGCAATAACATTTGGGCCATTTGGCCCACATGAGCTCTCCTAAACATGAGGATCTTTATCCTGTCCAAAATTAGACCTCAGCATTTGATTTGGTGGATCACATGCTGAATTTTAACGGCCATATCACCACTCACTGTGAAGCAAACTTGAGATCAGTAGCTCAGCTTCTTGGCATGTTTTATACTGCAACTAAATAACATTTCAGTTTGGTGACAAGTAAATAAAAGCTAAGTGCTAAATAATGCTCTGTCATTACACATCTCAGAATTTTACTAATGAATGGTAGTCTTTGGTGTTGCTAATTTTCGTTTTGTTACATTTGCCTTCTCCATTTGTATATGATTCTCAGTAATTTTGTAGATTTGATATTTATTGCTATTCAGCTCAATCCACCTCTGTCTGTGAGAGGGGATCTTTCTTTCCTGGTTGGTAATAATTATAAACACACCCTGCTGTTTTGTGAACAGTGTTCAGTAGCTCAGCATACAGGGTGTATGTACAGAGCACTCTCCAGTAGAAGGATCAAATTCTGCTCTTATTACATGAACAAAATTCAGTCAAATTTGAAAGGGGTGGTAGTGGCCATATTGTTTGGCAAAGCGTTCCTTGATGGTAAAATGATGTATGCAAGCTAGGAATAGCTTGGCTTGCAGAACTCACTATTTCTTGCTTTTGATCAGTGGGAAAGAGGAAAATGCTATTTTATGCAGGGATAAGATGTGCTGCTTGTCTCAACATGAATTTCAACAATATATATGTGTTAAAATCTGTATTTTCATTTATCAGCTGTATTTGTATGGAGTACTTAGATGACAGCATGAAGTCTTAAATGATGATGACTCTCTGTACTCTCCAGAACTGCCAAAATTAGTGTAAAATAAAATTACATCCACCTCAGGTCTCAAGTGTTCTTTACTTGAATGTGCATGTGTGTGTTGGCAGCAGAGCAGCTCCAGGAGATGAGGCCCCATCCTTGGGCACACTCCCCCTCTGCTGTGGGGCAGAGTAATAGTATTAAATTGTTAATGAGCAACAATGCAAATTATCAATGAGTTATCCAACTTAGAGGCCAGGTTTTTTTTACACTGCCACTTAAAAAATTAAACCTCCTCATTTCTATACACACTGACAAATAATATTAACTTAAAGAAAAAATAAATTTGACCCCAGAACGCTTCACAAAAGGAGAATGGGTGAGTATAGATGTATACAGAATAAATAAACATAACCTAAAATGTTGAATTAACACATTCTAGGCAGGTGCTCTTTACAGTGTAATGCTAATTACAACCCTCTCCCTACTACCACTGAATGACAAAAAGCAGTACTGCAACAAAAAACCCCAAAGCAATAAAAATCCCCCACAAAACCCCAAACCAAACAGAAAACCACACGGGCACACTGACACTACACAGCCACTGCTGACACCTGATGATAAAAAGCAGCACTAAGAAATAAAAGGATTAGGGTTAGGTTAGAGAAAGAGTGGTAAAGATGCTCAGTGTAGGGGAACATGAGGACCTTGCCAGAATATTCCTTGTGTGTTTGACAGATGGGGAGTCAGGCTGAGTGCAGCATGGTCTGCAGGGGAGCTGTGCACAGTTCATGTATCACAATGGAGGGTGGCACAATGCTCTTGTGTCTGCCCCTGCTCAGAAATCCTCACTCCTGGCTGTGGAACTCGTCCTCAGCCTGTGTCTGGCCAATCTTCAGCCTTGAGTCTTTCTAGAACAGCGTCTCCTTATTGTATTTGCTGGGAATATCCTCATGAAGGCAGGAATGATGAATCTGACTCCATGTTCTCAGAAGGCTAATTTATTACTTTATTATACTACCATATATTAAAGAATACTATAGTAAAGAATACAGAAAGGATACCTACAGAATGCTAAAAAGATAATAATGAAAACTTGTGACTCTCTCCAGTCCTGACACAGCTTGGCCCCAATTGGCCAATGAGTCAAAACAACTCACACCAGGATCCAATGAAACAACCACCCGTAGGTAAACAATCTCCAAACACATTCCAAAGGAGCAAAATATAAGAGAAGCAAATGAGGTAAGAATTTTTTTCTTTTTCTCTGAGGCTTCTCAGCTTCACAGGAGAAAAATCCTGGGTGAAGGGATTTTTTCAGAGAATGTGAATGCCACATCTCCTGAGACATGAGAGAGCCCAGTTTCAAGTCCCACACCCAGGGATCCCCTTGATGGGCAGCAGAAACCAGTATTCCCAACTGCTGTCCTCAAGAGCTGTAGCTCCCTGTGACCTGTGTTCCCTTCTCCCATCACAGCTTGCTTTTGCTGGTGCCTGGCTTGGGACTCCTTGCTTTGCACAGGAGACTGGCCTGGACTGCAAACACGTGCTAACAGTGGCAATAGGCAACTTTATTTCCACAACTAAATCAATTTTAGCATTTGTGCGCATGCAGAGGAGGAAGATGGGCAGGACAGAGGACACCTTTGACCCTGGGGCTGCCTTTGGATGAGCAGGCACTGCCCCAGTACGAAGTGGTCATGGTCCACTGCAGCCTGCGCTGGATCCTGTTCATCCTGCTCCTCCTGCCTTTTTTCCCATGAGGCTCTGCAGCATCTGGTGCACCTGAATTAAGAATTGCTCCAGTATCTGGTACGGATGTGGAGTGGGAAAGAGAGGTTGTGTTGGCATTGGCTCCTCAGAGGGGTTTGAGGTCCAGGCTGGCAGTGGCGTGGCTGCTGCAGTTGGGTATTGAGGAGTGGGTGTAGAGCAGCTTGGCTCTGTTGGTGTTGGTGTTGGCTCTGGCTCTGGTTCTGGCTCTGGCTCTGGCTCTGGCTCTGGCTCTGGCTCTGGCTCCGGCTCCGGCTCCTCAAAGGGGATTGAGCTGAAGATTGGCTCTGGTGTTGGAGTCTCTGTTTCAACTGGCTGTGGATATGGAGTGGGAGTAGAGCAGTCTGATTCTGTTGGTGTTGGCTCTGGCAGCTCAAGAGGGGTTGAGATGCAGGCTGACTCTGGTGCTGAAGTGTCTGTTACTTGTGGGCACATGCCCATCTGGATCAGGATCCAGTTGTAGAAGTACTGAGTGGAGGTGTAGACTCCTGGCCGTTTTGTTCTGGCACAGCCTTTTCCCCAGCTGGTCACTCCAACAAGCCAGAAGTAGCCTGCACGGTTATCTTTGCACACCAGAGGCCCTCCACTGTCACCCTGCAACAGAGGAGGGAGGATTAGGGTGCTGTTGGGTGGCTGCTCTCAGCACTAGAGGCTTGCTTCTCTCTTGCAGCCCCTGCCCAGCTGTGTTCATGGCACTAAAAGGCTCTGCTCAGGTGCTGGAGTCTCCAGAACTCTGGGAGTCTCCAGAGCTCTGGGGGTCCCCAGAACCTTAGCTGGGATTGGGGTGGGTGTCTGTGAAGGCCCCCTCTTGTATCTGCACAGTGATCCTGGATGAGCAGAGCATGGATGATCCAGAATCTGGACCTCTGGGCTGCTGGGAATACTGGATGGGCTTTCTGGGCAGAGGGGCAGGCCTGGGGAACATGGCCACTTAGCAAGGGAACTCCAGCAGTGGAGGAAAAGTGATTTGCCAGGCAAAGCCCATGGTGACAGGGCACCTTTACTGCTGGGGGCTGGCTCCCAGCACTCCTACCTGGCAGGTGTCCATGGTACCCCGTGGGTAGCCAGCACACAGGTTGTGGGTGTGGATGGCCCCAGCGTACCAGCGGCTGTTGTTCACCAGCTGGATGTCCAGGAGACGGACCTTGGCTTCCTGCAGGACATCACTCAGACCCTGAGCTGGGAGCACAGGAAGGAGTGAGCACCCAGCAGCTCCTTGCCACTTCCACTCCCCCGTCTGGGGGTGAAGTTGTTCCCTAGTAGAGGAATGTGTCCCTTGTTGATGGAGTGACAAAACTATCCTTTGTCCCCTTAAAATGGAAATAAGCCCAGAAGTTTCTCTCCTCAGTTAAGCAAAAAGGCATCTCATAGGACCTGGGAGACTTCACCTCAAACTTAAGGATAGCTAATTGGACAGAAGCCAAAAAGTCCAGCCTGAGCAATTTACTAGAAAAAGAAGAGAACAAAGAAACTAATCACTTTTGTGAAGTGTTTTACCAGGAGCAGGAGGGCCGCTTGAACCTGGATCAGTTTTTCTCTGTAAAGACTTTGTTATTTTGCCTTTTATTAAAACCTTTTTGCTTCTAACACTACCACAGAAGCCATCCTGCTGATTTTATGCCTTCTAAGGTACTGAGCTATAGATGAGGTGTGAAATAGATCTCCAAGAGCTTATGACACCTGACTTGAGGAGACCCATATTTCACCCTAGGGCTTGGCTTAGCCTCTGGAGCAGCTGTTGAAGTGCTGTGTCCTTTCTGCCTTTGGAGAGCAGAGCAAGCTCATCTCTCCAGACACATACATCCTACATCCTGACTTTGGTCTCTGCTGTCAGGAA